ACAATTACCTTCTCATCTATGAATTTGACCCAGAAACGGGTCATGGCTCTCTCATAAGGATCTTCAGGCAACAAATGATAGCCTTTCCACGTCTCGTCGATGTATTCGAGTATAACTGCCGATTCAGCAATCGGCTTTCCATTGTGCAACAGCACAGGGACCTTCTTATGAATAGGGTTGTATTTCAGAAGCAGAGGACTCTTGTTAGAGAGATCTTCATCTATGTATTCATATTGAACCCCCTTCAGTTTCAGAGCAAGCTCTACTCTGCGACTAAAAGGGCTTCTCCATGCGCCAATCAACTTCACTTCTTCAGCCATTAGCTCTTTCACTTAAAATATGAAATGCAGTGCAGTTTCAACTTCTGTATTTCATCTTCTCTACTGTCATCCTTATATTGACATCTCTACACAGAGCATCCTTGACGATTAAGTTTCTACCTCTGTTAGAATTCTGTAGTTGGTATATGAGGTCAAGATATTGGAGAGACCCTGGAACTTGAATGTGTCAGACTACAGACACGTGGCAAACTCATATTTGGTGGAATTTCAAGGCTTACATTGTTGACCTCATGTGTGATGTCAGGCGTCTGAATCAAAACAATTTTTCAGAGTGAATAATTAATTAGGGATGCTGACCAAATCCAGATTTTCTATACAAGATTTCCAAGGCACATTTGCTTACTTTTATGCTCCATATATTGTAATTTACTTGGCTAAAGCGCTACTTTAGTTTCCATGTTGACTAATTCCTAACCAAATCCAATCTTTATTTCCATTGCTACCATCATAATATATCCCTGTTTGTTCAATGGAAATTTTTGGATCCATTAGTCCTGATATCTATCTCCAATCTCTATATGTTCTTGTTATTTGGGAGTTGGGAACAGCCTAGATGATACCTTAAAAGTGAACCTACTTGTGTCCTTTGGCAAGAAATTCAAAAAGAATAATAGACTGTCTAAAACCAGAATCAATTAGCAAGAAGTGAAGAACTTAAAGATTTTGATGGACCTCTGGTTTGGATTTGTTAGTCATGGCCTTTAAATAAATATGATCTGAAGGACCCAGAAATCTTCCAATTCAGGGATCCCTCTATCCTATTGGATTGCTCAATTGGAAAATGGCAACACTATCTCCTTGGATATCATGAGCATATCCATGATCTTGCTTCTGACGAGACCGTCTGAATGATTTCAAGTTTTCAACTATGGCAAGGTGTAAGAGATTGCAGCTGTTTCTATAGTTAAAAGATGGATATATAAGCTTTTCCTCATTATGAATTTAAGAAACCGGAAAGGTCTTAATGAATTTAAGATGGAGAGACAGTCATTAATTAATTAACATATATTGCTAACTTAGTCATTAATGAACTTAAGATGGAGAGACAGTCCAAAAGCCTAGAAATAGTTGTTTCTCTAACTCTAGTAGCCTCCAGAGTCCAAGGCCGTGCTTAGATTAAGTTCTTCTGTATCCACATCCAGCCCCTTCCACAGCCTTCAGATTTACCAGAACTAGCAAAGCAAAATTGTAATAAATATTATTGGTAGAACAAGACATAATCTTAGAGGCCCATCAGTTTGTCTCAGGAATGCCATATGATATCTAATTGACTGTAGCTATATTGAGATAAAGCTCTGGAAATTATGCCATAGGGCCTGTTCATTTTTCGGATTTTGAGAGGGGAAAAGTCAATCAATAGGTTTTGGTTCCATTATGGAAAATTCACAATGGGTTCCGCATGGGTTTGCCTCAACCCAAATCCAGCTTGTAGCAATCTCAACCCAAACCCATCCCAACCCGACTGAATGGATAGGGGATAAAAAACCCACCCCGCCCCGCCCCATATTTAGTACACATATACTCAATTGACATCATATAAACTATTATTTCACAGTTGCAAATGTCAATGGGTCGGGTTTTCATCCTGACCCAAAACCAGATTAAGACTGACCCAACCCTAACCCAATAGGCATGGGTCGGCGCTAGACCTGGCAATTGGGTTGGTGGGTCGGGTCGGGTTGGTTCAAGACACTTCGGGTTGATTTTAGGTCGGGTTGTCAAATGTTAGACCCTACCCCTAGATGTTCGTGTTAGGGTTGATCCATGGGTCAATTCGGGTCAGCCCAAAAATAACTGAAATTTAAAAAACATAAAGCATGCCAAAATTAAATCAATTAACCTTAAAATTTCAAATATAAAATAAAAAAACTTGAACATTTAACAATTCAAAGAGTAAATAATAAAGAGTAAAGACTAAATAGAAAAACTTAAAGAGTGGAAACTTCTAACAATGCATAAATAATCTCAATTAAACCTAACAATTGGGTCAGCGGGTTGACCCATGACCCAACCCAACCCAATTTTTTCGGGTTGGATTGGATCGGGTTATTCTCCCATTCATGTAGCTAATTATGAGACCCTAACCCTGTTTTTTCGGGTTGGGTTGGATCAGGTTTGCGGGTTGGATCAACTTTTTGCCAGGTCTAGTCAGCGCAGATTTACCACCTAACCTGACCCATTGACATCCCTACCCTGCACCAACCCATTCCATCTACATCCAGGGACAAAGCCCAAGTAATGCCCAGTTGTGATGCCATACTTGTACAGAGTATAGTCAAGTTTTAATTTCAATTCTAAACCTCTCTTATCATTTCACGCTTGTAACATTTAAAGCTATAGAGCCATATGTACCACTACCAGGTCGATTACATGAACAAATACAAGAACAGACTTTAATAAAAAGAGAAACAAAACGTAAACATATATGAGTTAACCTGCTACATCCCAAGCTTTGGGCTCTTCAGCCCAACAACTGCCACAAGGAATAATACATCCCTTGGCCCAAACGATGAGCCCAGGTTTAGTCTGGAGGCCACTGGCCACCCACCCTCCAAATAACGTGCATCAAGTTTTCAAACATGATTATTGAAAACATACTGAGGACTGAGGCCAATTAAGCAAGCCCTACCCAATACCCTTGGATAGGTGTATTATTTCTTGCATTTCTTCTTCTAATTTTGTTTACTTATAGTACTTTTGATAGGTAATTGTGTTAAGATAGGCCTTGCTTCTTGGCTTCATCAATCCAAATATGAAACTGAACACATAATGGACTCCTGTAAATGTTGAACCCATGCCACCAGAACTTGAGAAAAGAAGAAATAATGTGAACAAGAACTACTACAATCTACGGGTATCACTGTTGATGTGAACTCCAAACTGAATTTTTCAATTTTGCAACAGTGGAAAACAGATGTTCACAACAGTAGACAAGCTCCCAATACAGCTAAAGTTTTCAGAAAAGACAATACGCTACAGAACAACACAGCACAATACACAGACATAAGAAGCAATTGTTAAACAAGATTGAGCTTGTGTTAGAAAAATGGAACTTCAACTCATTTATAAAACCTAGACGCGATTGCATATATGGTTTCCTTATGACCTTGGTAGTAAGCAAACAATTTATCCCTGGGAGGAAGATTTTCCCCGACAACATCGCAATTGATGAACTCCTCAATCCATTTGTGTAAGACAGGAAATTTCTCCTCATCCATCAAGCTTATTCCCACTACTTCTTGAAGGACTCCAACCCAGAAAGCTATAAAGATAGCAGCAATGTCTACAAATCCTATGTTATCTCCCGCAAAGAACTTCCTCCCCTTCTTGAGCTCATTTTCTAGTATTTTCAGAGTCTCCTTTGCCTCTTCAATAGCCTTCTCTTGCTTCCTTTCTTCAATCCAACAAGCCTTCCATATTGCTTCAATACACTGCACGGATCAAAGGGTCAAGACTAATCCAATAACAGAAAATCCAATTAAGAAAAGGAAACAATTACCTTCTCATCTATGAATTTGACCCAGAAACGGGTCATGGCTCTCTCATAAGGATCTTCAGGCAACAAATGATAGCCTTTCCACGTCTCATCGATGTATTCAAGTATAACTGTCGATTCAGCAATTGGCTTTCCATTGTGTAACAGCACAGGGACCTTCTTATGAATAGGGTTGTATTTCAGAAGCAAAGGACTCTTGTTAGAGAGATCTTCATCTATGTATTCATATTGCACCCCCTTCAGTTTCAGAGCAAGCTCTACTCTGAGACTAAAAGGGCTTATCCATGCGCCAATCAACTTCACTTCTTCGGCCATTAGCTCTTGCACTTAAAAATATTAAAATCAGTGCAGTTTCTACTTACTGTATTTCATTTTCTCTACTGCGATCCTTTTGTAGACATCTCTACACAGAGCTTAAGTCTCTGCGTTTGTTAGAATTCTGTGGTTAAAAAGATATTTTTTGAGTTGGTATTTGAGTCAAGATTGGAGAGCGCATAAAGTGGTGGACCCCCATGTTAGGACTTGTATATGTCAGAATGCAAATACATGGAAATTTCATATATTTGATGGCAACGTTTTAAAAAACAACCCGGAAAAGAACCGTTCTGACTACCGGTTTTTGGGTCGACGGCCTGACCGTTTGATTCAAAAGTACTGCCCGTTCCTCCCAACCATAATTTCTGTTGCAAACAAAAAAGACAAGAAGATAGGACTATTAAGTTATGGAGAAGCATCATCATAAGGTTTCCCTTTTGTTTCCAAAAATGCGAGTTTTGGGAATTTGCTAACAGACGAGGGCAGGCTTCCAGAGCCACCTAAGATTCTGCCAATTGGCTGGGCCAGAGCAAGTGAGCTGAAAGCTGGTCAAAAGTGCCAGCATCTGGGCCTTCTATTATAGCTCATTATTCCTAGTCCAAAATCCTCTATGGCAAGGCCCATAGGAAAACCATTAAAGTAGCCATCGAAGAAAATTAGTCTCCTTTGATGTGGACATAAACTTACTAGATGAATAACCCCTTAAGTCACCATGTGGCAGACAGTCAGAAGATCAGGACCTAACGTTAGATGAATCCCCCACCTAAGCAAGGACCTTCACCACTAATAAGCCCTATCAGAAGTGCCATCATCTGATCCATACGCATCATTTCGTAAAAGTTTTCCACCCCCAAACCCTAACTACTTGTTTAGAAACACATGTTTTGGATAATTTTCGGTCCAATTAATGTTCAACTATTGACCCATCACCAAAAATTATCATGACCAATTTGAGGATCCAATACCAAGAAAAAAAAAAAAAACCTACAGCCACTACCACGCACTGAATGTCGGGTTATCCTTGAAGCTTTGTACTAAGAAACTATAACAAGGCTTGAAACAATTTATATTTATGCATGAAGATGGAAGAATCAATATGTAAATGAGAGGACTTTAATTTGCGTATACTCATCATGGAAAACCAGAAAGGAAACCACTAATTAGAGCTGGCATTCATTCTCAAGTTCAGAATTAATGAACACTTAAGAATAAAAGAAATCCTTCTGAGTGGCTTGAAATTGTAACAACTGGCCCACAAGGATTCCAACACGCAGTAAGGAATAGAAGAGAATGAGTATGAGACTACGAGAGAGAGAGAATAAAAATACCAGTTGCTTTAAATTGTAGAGTTAACCTGCCACATCTCAAGCTTTGGGCTCTTCAGCACAACAACTGCCCCCAAAGTAATAATACATCCTTTGGCCCAAACCATGAGCCCAAGGGCTTAGTCTGGACTCTGAAAGCCACCACCGTCCAAATAACGTGTATCAAGTGCTCCAACAGAGTAATCTGCTCTTAAGTGGTTTTTTCCGAGCAGAATAAACCACTCTGCCCCATCTTAAATCCACATCTATAGGCCCACATGCATCAAATCAAGGTTCAAATTTTCGATACATCTTTTTTGAGGTATTTTGAAGGAAAAAAACTAAAAAATTAAAATGTAAAGCATGAGGGTCAAAGTGTTAATACACCGAAATTTTGAAGGAAAAAAACTAAAAAAAATGTAAAGCATGAGGGTCAAAGTGTTAATACACCCCTTCGGTGTATCGGAGTGTATTGATATTTTGAACCTTGCATTGACTATCCGAAGCCCATTCAGGGGGCATTCTACAACATGAATGTTTTTGTTTTCATTTATTTTTGAGTCGCCATATCGGCAAAAAAACAAAAATATGTTCTTGAACTTTATTTTTGTTTTCAAAGGAAAAAACAAGTTAGTTATGTTTCAAAAAACAATACATGTTTTTTGTAACCAACAAAATATTGGTTTTTAAAACAAAAAAAAAATAATAATAATTTTTCTAATATAAAAATTATATGATTTATGGAACATGATATTGAATAATCAGATGAAAACACGTTTATGAAACCAGATTAAGAACATGCTTTTAGTTTTAGTTTTGAAAACAAAAAACACATACACAACCAAGAACATGTTGCTTGTGTTTTTGTTTCCAAACAATATGGTTTTGATTTATTTTTGAAACTGGCAACAGGAAAAACAACTCACATTGTATAAAAACCCCATCATAGATGTATCACTTCTTGCATTTCTTTTACTACTTTTATTTGTTTAAATTATTTTTTATAGGTAATTGTGTTAAGACGGTCTTATATTGATCTGTTGCAAGTTGAAGAGGGCTATAAAGGCTAGAATTAAACCAAAAAGGACATGGGTTGAAGTAAGAGATTTTTTAAACACTAGAGAAGTATGGATATGGCATTAAACAGAACAGAATAGCCAAACGGGATTCGTGTAACTGGCCTTATATATAGTTTGGATAAGGCATAGGTGATGGTGATGATTATGATCGTTCATAGTTCTTGCTTCTTGGCTTCATCAATCCAAATATAAAACTAAACATATATAAATCCAAATACAAGCTGAATAYAAAATGGATTCCTGTAAATATAGAGCCCATGTCGCCAGAATTTGGGGAAAGAAGATAGCTATAACTGTTATGTGAATACCAAACTGAAATTTCTGGTTAGTGTAAAACAGATGATCAGAACAATAGGCAAGCGCCCAGTACAGCTAAAGCTTTCGGAAAAAAACAAGATGACACAGCACAAATATGAGAAGAAGTTCTGCAACAAGATTGAGCTTGTATCAGTAACTATATTGTTCCCAACATACAACTTCAACTCATTTATAAACCATGGATTTGGATGCAGCTATGATTCCTTACGACCTTGGTAGTAAGCAAACAATTTATCCCTGGGAGGAAGATTTTCCTTGACAACATCGCAATTAATGAACTCCTCGATCCATTTGTGTAAGACGGGAAATTTCTCCTCGTCCATCAAGCTTATTCCCACTACTTCTTGAAGGACTCCAACCCAGAAAGCTATATAAATAGCAGCAATGTCTACAGATCCTATGTTATCTCCCCCAAAGAACTTCTTCCCCTTCTTGAGCTCATTTTCTAGTATTTTCAGATTCTCYCTTGCCTCTTCAATGGCCTTCTCTTGCTCACTTGCTTCACTCCAACAAGCCCTCCAAAGTGTTGCATTACACTGCACAGATCAAAGGGTCCAAATTAATCCAATAGTGGGCCATGTGTACAACATAGAACTATGACAATCTTGGGTGTTAGTTACATACATAGATTTACAAAAACAAAAAACAGAAATTCAATAAACAATTACCTTCTCATCTATGAATTTGACCCAGAAACGGGTCACGGCTCTTTCATAAGGATCTTCAGGCAACAATTGATAGCCTTTCCACGTCTCGTCGATGTATTCGAGTATAACTGCCGATTCAGCAATCGGCTTTCCATTGTGCAATAGCACAGGGACCTTCTTATGAATAGGGTTGTATTTCAGAAGCAGAGGACTCTTGTTAGAGAGATCTTCATCTATGTATTCATATTTCACCCCCTTCAGTTTCAGAGCAAGCTCTACTCTGAGACTAACAGGGCTTACCCATGCGCCAATCAACTTCACTTCTTCAGTCATTAGCTCTTGCACTTAAAAAATATTAAATTCAGTCATTCAGTGCAGTTTCTACTTACTGTATTTCGTTTTCTCTACTGTGATCCTTTTGTAGACATTCTCTACACAGAGCTCAAGTCTCTGCGTTTGTTAGAATTCTGTGGTTAAAAAGATATTTTTTTAGTTGGTGTATGAGTCAAGATTGGAGAGCGCATTCAGTGGACCCTTCGCCCTCGGTCCACCACATGTTAGGAATTGTATATGTCAGAATGCAAACACATGGGAATCTCATATTTGGCCGAATTCTAAGATTTCTTCCCTATTGACCTCATTTTTTTGTCTCATTATTGACTTCATGTGTTATCTCATCAGGTGTCTGAACCAAAACAATTTCTAATAGGAATTCGGATCTCCTGCCCACAACACACTACCCCCGTGAATTGGGAGCATCTCCCTGCATAATGTTATGCAGAGGATGAGTCATGTATGGCTGCGATAAACGTGGGCAGGAGACCCGGAGACTGGAAAATTGATTAGGGATACTTATCAAATCCAAATTTTCTACGCAAGATATACAATGCATATTTGTTTAATTCTGTGCTCCATTTATAGTAATTTATTTGTCATAAGCATTACTTTAGTTTCCATGTTGACTAACTCAACCAAATCCAAATTTTATTTCTATTGCTACCATCATAACTGATGAGGCCCTTGGCCAATAATATATCCCTGTTTGTTCAATCGTAATTTTTGGATCCAACAATCCTGATATCTCCAATCTCTATATGTTCTTATGTTCTTGTTATTTTGGAATTGAGAGCAGCTTAGATGATACCTGAAAAAATGAACGTACTTGTGCCTTCTGACCTTTAATTCAAAGAACAATAGCCTGTCTGAAACCAGAATCAAGCAAAAAGTCCACAACATTTTAAAGATTGTGACGGACCTCTGGTTTGGATTTGTTAGGCGTGTCATCTAAATAAACATAATTTAAAATGAACCAGAAACCAACCAATTCAGGGAGCCTTACATTTTATCGGATTGCCCAATTAGCAAATGGCGACACCATCTCATTGGGTATCAGTATATCACGAGTATATAAATATTCTCGGCCTCCATAATCTTGATTATTGTGAATTGCAGCAGTTCTACAGTCAAAAGATGGATAGATGAGCTTTTCCTTCTTGTAAATTTAAGAAACTAGTGGAGAGACGGCTCAAAAGCCTAGAAATGACTATTGTTTCCAACTCCAAGTTGTCCCTAGGCACCAGAGTCCAGAGTCCAAGGTCATACTTAGATTGGTGTTTCTCCGGACAAGTGATTTCCGGGAAAAAATTGCCCAGGTAGCTTAAAAACCATTGTTCACACGATCACTTGCCCAGGTACCGCATGAGGCGGGAGTGGGATAACGTTTTCATTGGGTGAGTAACTCATCCATCCTCTAGGACAATACCAATTATCCATCCAAAAAAACAATCATTTTTCATGCTCCAACACAAGAAAGTTCATCAATTACCCGATTTGAGATATAGGGGGCCCAACTTCTTCTATATCCGTTTCCAGACCTTTCCACATAATCCCAAAAAATCCGCTCCAGTAAGTTAACCCAAACTTGTTAGAAATTTTCCCTTTAATTAGTGAATGAAGGATAATTTTTATACTTGTATTATTTTTTTATTTATTTTGATAAAACACTATAAACTTTATCCACAATAAATTCTTCCAAATTGGCATATTTCATTTCTGATTTCATATCCAAAATCGAAAATTTTCCCTTTAACAAGATTTAAATTATATTTTCTTGCTTCCAAATTATGCCCCTTTCAAGAGTAATCATTTTCACTGTCAAAAACTAGTGAGGCTTTCAGCAAATTGGCAGCCAGTCAAGGCCTCAGTCTGGAATGAGAAGTACTTGCCCTGATCGTCACTAAATATGCCTCTATTTTTAATTTTATAATTCCTTATCAGAAGTTTCTATCACCTATGTGCAGGTGCAACCTTGGGGATATTAGTCTATTGATTGCAATCCATGTCTAAATTATTGGTAGAACAAGACAATCTTGGAGACCCATCGGTTTATCTCAGGAACGCCATATCTAATTGACTGTATTTATATTGACTCAAAGCTCTGGAAACTATACCATACAAATTTAGTGTAGTTACACGGTTGCACTTGCCACTCAATGAGAAATTTTAGGTCCAAATGGCAATTATGTTCCTTCTGATCATACTGCTAGAGGTCCATACCTTTTTCCTTTTTGCAATCATGTCAGAAAACTGCAGCACAGTATTTTCTCTTTTATCAGAATCACCTGAATTTTGATTCTTCTTCCTGCAATGTGCAATCATTATATTAAAAAGGCTGCTGTATCATAAATTGTAAACCAAAGAAAATTACCTTTCTACAAAGGCTGCAGATATCCTGAAAGCCCTTCAAAGAAAATACTCGGCTCAAAACGGTCTGAGATCTGCTCAATATTTGGCATTTGATACTCCAGAATAATTTATCACAGCCTACAGGTTAATCTATTCAAATTTGTAACAAGGAATAAGATCATACAGACTTTTCTGCACAATCAGTGAAAATGCTAGTGCCATTTTCCTAATTACAATATACCTTTACTATCTAACTTTTTATCTTTCAATAATAAAGAAAGTTTTATTAAAAGAAAATAAAATTACAATGACAGGTGATAAGAAACCACCAAGGAGAAAAAAATAAAGATCAAAGCCCCTCCTACATATAACAATAGCACTCCCAATAAGCTCCTTAATAATCCAAAAATCAAAACACCTACAACTATACTGTCCCTGTCTAACCTGAAGTTGCATAATATATATAACTATTTGACATCAAAATGTCAGTTTCATAAATCTCACAAGTCCAAAACAATTTAGATCAAGAAACCACTTCTCTTCTTCTTGACTAAGCTTTTGATTTTTTTAAAGCAACAGAAAATTTTTCATTAACTAAGAAGATCACCAAACCGCTCAAAACAAAAGCAGCTGGCCTGTAAGTCTAACTACAACAGCTTCCTTCACTGAAGCCCACAAGAAAATAAAAAACAGAAAGCTTTTATAAAGAACAGCCAGACCTGGGCATCCCCAATCCAAACAAACTCTCCCTACACATTTCTTGCCAACTCACCTACTTGTACGTATCAGGGTAGGACTGGAAGCTCCACTCTGTTGATGGAAAAGAAACTGACTCGCCCATGGTCTACATGAGAGAATTTTAAGGGAATGCCATTGCACTTCCTCTCTAGTTCTTCGATCTCATTTCTTGATGGTGGATGAGCCCTGTATGATAAACTATGTTACCAATGGATCTAAGACAAAATGCATATTAATGCTTAAAAGGAATATCAAGAAACAATTCATAGGGCATATGCTCCATCTGAGACCTAGTCAGGAAGTCCCTATTGCAGCACTGTCTGACATGATAACATCAATCAGGCAATACTGCAGGGTGAACAAAAGTTCCATCAGCAGATTACCCCACCCCATATGAGGTCAAAAATATATTCAGTTTGATATGTACGCGTGATCTGTCGTAAAGTTGAGGAGAGATGTTAAAATAAAAAATTAATAAATAAATGAAAAAAGAAGACATGAATAAAATTTTTTAAATGACTTTTAGGTATTTTTGCTGGAGAAAAGATGTCTATGGTTTCTATGTTACAATAACTATCGCTTCTCTTTTCCAACTTAAGGGGGAAGATGAAGAAAATAAAAAAGTTCAAGTGTTCTAAACAACCAGCAGTCAAAAATATAATCCATTTTTCCCATATTTTCAAGACATTGGAGAATATATGATTCATTATCCATTTTATTAGAAAGCCAAGTTTTTATAGTTATCACATTTGCTGTGATTTGAAAACTAGGCTTATCAATACTTTCCAACTTGCTAAAAGGTAGGTAGAAAGAATGCATTATAATCAATAACATTCAACATTGTGCTTAATTACCTAGTTACAAAGAGCATAAAACTTGGATCACCAGGAGATGATTTTCTGAACTTGTTGTTAGGAAGGTAAACTTCAAAATCCGGTCTCAAATCACTAATCTGCAAATTTTCACGTTGGTTGATGAAGGAAAACCTGTTCACCAATTCACTGTCTGAAACTGTACTGGTTTCTGCTGTTCCTTGAAGAGTAGAGTTACAGCCATTATCACCCTTCATGGTCCAAGGGACACCATACCGACCAACAATGTACCCAAGGGACTTTAGGTGTCTGTAAACCTCAAAAGTCTCCCAACAGCACCCACTCCTTCCTTCTGCAACCTTCTCATATAAATCTTTCAGGAAAAGTGTTGTATCATCAACATCCAACAGATGCAGTGCCCCTATTTCAGCCAAAAACCTACATGCATTTTTTTTTATCAGAAACGATAACTTTCATTAGAGATAAATTAACCTGAAATATAGAATTCAACCCTTATTAGAAAAGGTTGATCCAATAAACATCAAACATTACAGCACTGCCCAAAAACCTACATGCATTATGACAAGCATCATAAGATCAACATAAAAATCTGTTAAGAAGGAAAAGATTCATATTTCCATCAATATGTCAGATAAAAATAGGCCATCAACAAGAAATCAACTTAAAAAAAGGGACTACAATCAACTACTGATTTCATTGCTCACAAGATCATTTAAATTTATAAAACGAATAGAATTGGCATACTGATAAATTAATCATTTAATTCTTAGAACTTATCAATCTTATCAAAAACTATTGACGGATAACCACGATGTTAAAGAAAATCCTTTTTTTACCTTTTTGATAATTAGGTAGGTAAATTTTGGGTGGAAGTGATAAGAAATTATTTAAGCGCCCATAATTTGACAATGTATATGGCACTGAACAGAACAGAATAGCGAAACAGGATTCATGTTGCCAACACCAATGGTTGGGACAAGGCTTAGATAAGGATGATAATTTTCTTTCAAAATGGAAGAGGATGGACTCCTGATTTTTAACTGAAAGACATGAATTGTTTCAATGACTCCAAGGATATTTTAACACTCAACCAAAATTCTAATGGTAATTTTGACTTATGAGGGGTGAAAGGTGTGAATGAGTAATCTTATGTACAAGCCATGGATTTT